GATAATCTCAAGACATTTTATCTTCAATATACCACAGATTAATAATGTATAAAAATCTGTCCCTATTTTTATCTAATGTTTTGAAAGTTAAATTTTAGATGTCTTATTATAACAATATTATACTTACTGGTACAAATAATATAGAAATGGCTCTTTTTAATAAAATTGTTTTTATTCTACTTTTTCTTTTATACTCCTCAAGGAAAAGTTTGCTGCAAATTGTTGAGTTTTTCTTTGGCTTCCAACCAACCCGTCCAATTAACCTTAACCATTTTTTCTAATTATAGACCTTGTTGTAATAGCGTATACATTGCCCTAAAAATGAATTACTGACTCTGTGGAGTCGAGAAACTGGCATCACTAGCTTGTGTTTGTTCCTAGTGTTTAGAGAATATATCACTTTTTTACTAAAACTATCTTTGTTTTTAAGAACATTCATTAAATTTTCGTAAATATACTGAGAGGCCAAAGTTAATATATTAATTTCTTTAAATTTATCTCTAAGAGATTCTCTCGGTTTTAGATTGTAAATAGCTCTAATGGACCACTTCTGTAAAACAAAAATAGTTTCTGAATCAGCCGCATTTCCCCATAGCAATATCCCATAAGACATTATGCTATGGAAATAACAAAAATAAACTAATCTAGCTGTCTCGACACTAGTGAGACCTCTAATCTTTTTACAGCATAGGCTGCAGAACTTAATCTGCTTGCTAATTTGGGTATATGGGGGCCCCACTGAAGCTTTGCGTCAAGAGTGATGCCAAGAAAAACAGTGGATACAACAGAGCTCAATTCCTCCCCATTTAAAAATACATTGGTATTCAGATTTTTAACATTCGTTGTTGTAAATTTAACACAATTAGTTTTATTGCCGTTCAAATGCAGATTATTAACGTTAAACCAATGCACTAATTTTGACATAGCATTATTCACTACGTCACATTTAAATGATTGACCATTAAGTTTAAAAATCAAGGAAGTATCATCAGCAAATAATACTATATCATGACTATCCCCTACAAGGTGAGGTAAGTCATTAATATACACCAGAAACAGGAATGGGCCGAGAATCGAGCCCTGAGGACCCATTAGTACAGGTGACCCGGAATAACTTTTACCATTGATAATAACCTTCTGCTTTCTATTACTTAAATATGAAATAATAAGTTTAAGCGCTGTGTTCTTGACACCATAGTACTGTAGTTTCCTGGTTAATGTCTCATGGTGAACACAGTCGAAGGCCTTGGAAAGGTCCCAAAATATACCCAAAGCATCCTCTGAATTCTCCCATGCACAAAAAATATGTTTAATAAGCTCAACTCCAGCGTCAGTTGTCGAGCGACCCCTTGTAAAACCGAATTGATTTTTATGTAGCAATTTATTAATATTAAAGAAACTTAACATCAGATCTAAGATAATTTTTTCAAAAATTTTACGTAATGTTGGTAGTACAGAAATTGGTCTAAAATTGGCGGGGTCTAATGTACTACCAGATTTAAATATAGGTATGACTTTACTATGTTTCATTATATCAGGAAACACACCAGATTCGACGCTTATATTAAATATAGTGGCTAGATAAGGTGCTAATATATCTATTATAGATAAAATAACTTTAACGGAAATCCCCCATAAGTCTGCTGTTTTCTTAACATCAATAGTTTCAAAATATTTAACGATATCTTTTGGCAGTACTCTATGGAATTTAAAAGTATTTGAACAAGCCTTAACATTTTGTTTGAGCAATGATTCGGCGACAGTAGGAGAAGAATTTAATGATTTTGTTGTCAAAAAAGGAACATCAGTAAAATGTTTCTCAAAAGCCATAGCAACTTCATGATCAGATCGCGTTAATTCTGAAAATCCGAGTTGCGCGATTTGACCTTGCCCGTTTCATTATTTATTATTCTCCAAGTCATTTTAATTTTGTCGGATGCAGTTTAAATTTTGATGCCTTTATGTAAAGCCTTAGCAGTGGAGCACACTTTTAAATATTTTAGAATATGTTTTTACATGATCTCTAAATATAACACTACTATTATATGATCCTTCATCATAAAGCTCGTATAACCTTCGCCTACTTTTATAAATTGCTACTGTCGCCCATTCATTAAATGATTTGCGACTGTTAAAAGAGAAAGTTTTAGAAGTAAATATTCTACTAAATTCACAACTTATAATTTTAAATACTGTAGCATACAAATAATTAGCACTATTTTGAAACGAAAGTGATGGAAGTCTTTTCATTACATTACTTCTAAATCTCTCCAAGCGATGTTCATTTATTGGAACAAACACAACTTTCTTATTTTTCTGTTTTTTGTGTATGTAAGGTAGTGGTAGTTGCAACATGTTCAAAGAACGTATCTATAAAAGTAACTTAGGTCGAACTCCTTACTAACCAGAATTATTTCATTATACAACCATATGCCAAAATCCATAAAAATGGACATAATGTATAATCTGTTGTCTAGTTTTAAGTATTTGATCCGCAAACATTTTAGAAATATGTCAAAAAATTTGTAGATTTATGTAATATAGATTATAAGCATTAAATCCACTAACTATAGCAGTAGTGATTTTGCTTTTCATGTAACTGTATAGTTATTGTAGCATATTTATAACTGTTTCCTTTTAAAAAAAATTCACTTCGCTAAATATAAACGTAATATTATAATACGTAAGTTGTGGTTACTACATTGTTCAACGTTTCCTTCCAAGAATGATTCGCAAGGCTAGTGCTACGATCTGCTTAGAATCCATTCCTAATACAACTGCAAGACTTCAAGATATTATAAGTTCATACTGCATAGATCGGACCAAAAATTTATAATTTTAATCTTAAACTAGCCGTGGTTAACTATGACTTTGTGACGTCGAACACCTCAGTCCCTAGCCCCCTCTCCCCTGTGATGATGGGTGCTGTAAAGTGTTAGAAAGGTTGGGAATAAAAATAACTTAATATACGAGATAAAATTCGTAAAAACTACTTTTTCTTTTTAATGTGTAGTTTTCGCGTAAACATAAAAAATCATTAAGAAAAAGGATGTTACCTTTATTCCTTCAAACATCATTAATTCTAATTTCACGAAGCGTAAATATTTATTATGGACTTGTCATTTTCATTTATTTAAAAGTCTGACGCAAGATTTACTTAAAAAATGAATGTACATATAGTTTTCGAAATATCAAAGAGAGAAAGCAAAAAAAAAAACACTACGTTTCAAAGTAAATTCCGCAGTCACACTACCAAATTTCAATCAATACATTTCAACAAATTGTAGTATAATCAAATGTCATCAAATCATGGAATCTAAAATATGGAAAACCCCTTTATATCGAGCTCCAGCTCTTATGAAATAAAAAAGTGAAATAAAGTTTATATTTATTTTAACACAATGAACATCGGTTTGCTCAATTTGTAATATTTGTAATTAATAATATTGGTTTACTAAATTAATTGTTTCTGTTGTTTTTATTGTGTTTATATTTTCACTTACTTCATATTACTTTCTTATCTTTATTATTTTTAATCACCCATATCCTAATTCCTTTATCGTAAACTTGCCGTGTGATAAAAGCATACGTTTATCCATCACCCAATTCTTATGAGCTCTAATCCATCTCATATATGTTAAATGTTAAAAATACCTACATCAGTGAAGGAAAGCAGTGTAGAAGGTACTGCAATCGTCAATCCACCTGCGAGAATAAGGAGAATCTTTCCTACATTGTAGCAGGACCATATCTAGCCGGACTCTTACAGTCTAATAAAGAAGACCAATAAGAAAAAGAAGAAGAGAAAATACACAACAAATACTTTTTTTGTTGAAATACTCTTATCAACAACTAAACTGTAAGGTTTTAACGTCGCACGTTTTTATTTCTCACACAATATATTCACAGTAAAAGTGTCTCACACAATAAGTTCACAATAAAGTGTACTTATCTATATTCAATTCCCAAAACGTTGTTTAGTTTAGAATGGAGAACAATTTGCAAAGTTGTTCTTAGTACCTATGAATAGACCGATATAACGTTTAAAAACAAACTTTAATAGGCATTGCCACTAGCCAGTCCAGCATCCATCATCAGAACAACTCCATGATACCATAATGTTGCGTTGCCATTGAAGTAACATAAGTATGCCAAATTTTAGTTTAATCAAAAGAGCTTAATAATTAATTACCAATTTGCATTGCAAAGACATACAAATAAAGCAAGTTCTAGGTCTTTTATTAGTCGGTAGGACACCTTTTCTACCGACTTCAAAAAGGAGGAGGTACTCAATTCGACTGTATGTATTTTTTATGTGTGTTACCTCATAACCTTTTTCTAGGTGAACCGATTTCGATGATTCTTATTTCACTTGAAAACTGGTGCTTCTCATCTGGTCCCATATAAATTTGATCAAGTTCTGACCAATAGTTTTTGAGTTACCCTTAATAATTTATATTGAAGTCGGCTGTACAAAATTTTTTATTTTACCACTTGTCTTCTAGGTGGTTGGACCTCTTTTCTGGTACCACTATCTCACTTTTTTCTGCCGCCAAATAGCAGTGCTTGCATTGCTGTGTTACAGTCTGAAGGATATAGAGAGTTAGTATAACTACAAGCTGTAAGGCATTCCATTTAGTCCTCAGGGTTGACAACGCTTCGCTTCTTTGTATTGAATTAGCTGAAGGTGCCCAAAGACTACAGTCGCCACTTACCATCAGGTGGAGTGTTAGCACGTTTGTCACTTCAGTTTTACAAAAAAAAAAACCTTAAAGAAAATTTTGTAATAAGTTAGTACATCTCTTTTAACGGTCAGTGTCGATGAAGTTTGATTTATTCTTGACTTTTGTAAACAACGAAACAAAAAATTCACATTACTCTATTAGTTCCATAGCAAAATATGTATTTGCAAACTTTTACTGTAAATTAGACACGACTAAAAGTTAAAAATTAAAAAAATAAATTAAAATAATTATTAAATGTTTATTGACAGCAAATTTTTACTGAGCTTTGATCCATGATACATATGACGTAACTCGAGCGTAAGCAGCAGGATAACCAACGGAGCAGCCATCTCTATGACCAAATGATGTAACGCCCACCTGTACAATAAACAATGAATTGTTTTAATAACTGGGATATTATAATTCCTCTCTGAAAAAGTTATCAGAGTATGTAGCTTTTACGTCACATTCATCTCCACATGGGATTGAATCCCAACCAGAAAATAACAAAATATTTTTGTGTAAATATCGTAACTGTCACCATAGTAGAAATCGGTGTACATTATTGTGGAAGAACATTAATTTTAAAATAAACTTGACGTATTATTTCCACGTACGACTTATTATTTCTACGTATGACGTATTATTCCAGACGCATTATTATTTTAAACTCACCAAAACTCTTCTGCCACCGCTATTGACAGCTAGAGGGCCACCGGAATCACCCTGGCATGTTCCTCGACCACCGGCACCGCTAGTGCAAATATTAGTGTTGTGATACCATGAAGAGTAGACCCTTGAGCACTCAGCGTCAGCCAAAATGGGTAGATTAACGGAGCTCAAACGTTGGTTGGAACCAATATTGCCATCTACAAAAAAAATTAAAGTAAATTGATTGAACATCAAAATCTACACAAATAAATAAAATTGAAGTGTCTGTTTGTAATGTCAAAATCACAGTTTTTACTAAATGCATATGAAAGTATAAACGGTACTTATAACATAAACACACTTTTTAAAATTTTTGTCTGTCTGTCTGTCTGTTTGTTCCGGCTAATCTCCGATACAGCTGGACCGATTTTGTCAAGACTTTCACTGGCATATAGCTGATGTCATGACGAGTAACTTAGGCTACTTTTATTATAGAAAAATAGTTAGGGTACCTTGCAAAAAAAATTAAAACCCTAAATTTCACGCGGGCGAAGTCGCGGGGAACAGTTAATAGAAAATATAACAGAAGCCACTTATGTGCATATTTTTATCTCTGTGATTCATTGTGAATTCTACTTCCCTCTTTTCAATCATTGAAGCATCTCCTTGTTCTTTTTAGCTTTTTTAATCTACTACTTAATTAAAGGCCCTTTCAAGAATTTGCTGATTAATACATCTATGCATTACTTTAAAATTGCCTGTATTCAGGTTAGTGAACGCAGAACCTCCCAACAACTCCATCTATCTATTTCCTTCTTATCTTGCTTTCCTTCCAGATCGTTTTTCCATTTATTGAGGCGCGCTTCGCTGACTAGAATGACACTGTTACCTAAGCACCTTTCCTCCTTATTCGCTGTCGGTTCTTCGACCTTAATGGCAATTACTATATTGGTTACTCTGGTTTACTGTGAATATCTTCGTTTCGAATTCTACAATGCAGAGGAAATCCGAGCATAGTATTTTCTATAGCTCACTGAGCGACTTGGAGCTTCCTCATAAGAGCTGCAGTAAAGGACTGTGTCTTAGACCTATATATCATCACTGGGAACACGCACTAGTTGTACACTCTTGTTATTGACTTTTCAAGAAAACTTGATAAGAAGATGTTTCGTGATTTCCCGAATGCTGCCTAGACAAGTTAGATCCGTCGATCGATATCACGTTCGAATTTGGACTTGCCAGCAAAATTCAACAACTACCGACATAGGTGACATGGATGTTATACATGACTTTTCTCTTGTCCATGTTCATTCTAGAATCGATACTGTTGAAAGACACTATTGAAGTCGTTGAATATAGTGCTAAGGTTCTCCATCGATCCTGTCACTATGACCATATCATCGGCAAATCGAAGGAGAATTATGTACTCGCCACTGATTTTAATTCCGTATCTTTTCTAATTGAGTAGCTTGAAAACGTTCTAAATTTCTCTACCTTCAACTTATCGTCTTTTCTTGTGCTTATTTTAGGGTTAAATTCTTCCATCAACACCTTGTTGTTTATTTTGAATTTATACGTGGTAGAGCCATGCTACAGCTATATTAATAGTATAGTTATAGCACAAATGGGTCGGCTTGACCGGGGAAGGACCACGCTCTTACAGAATATCAGCTTAATGCTGCTGTGTTTCGTTTGGTGAGTTTAGGCAAACGGAAACCCTTTTAACTGGAAAAGGAGCATTCCATCTTAGTCCTCACGTTTGACAACGTATCTGCATTTCGTTCCCAAAAAAATGCACGCACTATAGATGTACTCGTACACTGCCTTCACTTTCTCATCGGTATGTGATAAGGTTGGTGTGCAAACCTGTATTACCTTTAACGAATAAAGTTTGTTATGCTCAACCCTTATGGACACACTCCTCTGACCTTAACCACTTTGTTAATGAGAGCCTTGTGTACAGTTAATCCAACATCTCCTCGTGACAGATAGTTGCTTTCTCAGTGATGGGACAACTTGCTGAACTCTAGTATTACCATGCCCTTCATTTTTTTCAGACCTCAGATAATTCTATAATATCCCGGCATAACTTGTTTTGTTACCTTTTTGGATGAACTGTGTTTTCTGACCAAAAAATGGTAATATATCGAAAATTTTATGTCCCAATATCGATTTTTTATTTAGCACAATCATGACACACTTCTCTCACCTCCTTTAAATCCATAGATAGTCCATAGTCAGAAGGACATTAAACAGAAGATGGTCAGTGGCTTCCTGATCACAACTAAAAATAGCAAACATCTGCAGCTACCAACCCGCTTGCCATCATGATATCTAGTATAGCAAATATTACCTCCTGTCTATTGGGGAGGCCTATGTTCAGTAGTGGACATTTGATAAACTGAAATATATAATAAATTAACAATTATTTATATATATATATATGTATATATATATATATATATATATACACATACATATATATATATATATATATATATATATATATATATATATATATATATACATATATATATATATATATATATATATACATTTAAGAGGAAGGAATTAGTTATGGCGATTGTTTAGGTTAATGATTAAAAATTAAGGCTTACTGTCAGATGTTTTGCCGAATCCAGAAGCAAGTGCAGTCTGTCCAAGGAAATTGTTAGAGAGCTCGTTGCCACTGGGAAGGGCAATTGGTTGTATCACATCTGAAATTCAACAAGAATAAAAGAGAGTTTAGATTTTTTATAGAATAAGGGTGACAAATGAGCACACAGTCCATCTCATGGTAAGTTGATACCGTGGCCCATAAACATCTACATTTGTCCTCAATTATGAATTAAAATGCAGATGCGTTACACAATGACTATGATACATTCTTGATTTTAAGACCAAATACTACATTACAAAAATTATAAAAATATCATACTTTTACTGGGACTTTTATTAAAGTGTCGTTAGTTAATGTATTTATTGTATAATTAGCCAAGATAAATTTTGAAACAAATATATCATCCTACAATTTTGAAAATTATTAAAGTCGAACTGAAAGTTGAAAGTCCAGTCAGTTATAAATAATCTTACTTGAGGAGGAGACTGCATTGATGCGGAGTACAGCAATGTCATTGGCAGCGGTTGAAGGGTTCCAGTTGGGGTGGACGGCAAAATTTGTGGTTGTTTGACGTACACCACCACTAAAAATAAAGTTAGATCCGAGAACAACAGTAAATGACTGAGCGGTTAAACTTCCGTCTGTGTAGCAGTGAGCTGCGGTCACTACACGGGTGGGGGAAATCAAAGACCCTCCACATACTGAGGTCAGCACCCATAACATGGTGATTACCAAACCGGCCTGAAATATAAAATGTGATTAATAAAATTATAGAAATAAAATTAAAATAAATGATCCAATCACTTTTTGGGAAATAATTACCTGGTAAGGAACCTGTGAAATATCGGTAATGCTGCCACCAACGATTCTGCTCTGCAAATCCCCAGATTTAATAGCCTCATCCTCTAATTTCTTAATTCTTGCTGCTTCTGGGATACCAATTCTCCTATGATAATCATAGGCAGTTATATCCTCTATTGTAGCAATTTCGGCATAAGTAGCCACGAAGGCTAGAGTAAAAACGACTGTAGCTATGAACACCTTCATTTTTCCAATGATCGCTGCTACTGTGATTTTCCTCGAGCCTTTATTTATATAAGAAATTGTGGTCTGTTATCATCAGTTCTTAAATTAATAATCTTCGGATTATATAAATCGATTTGAACTGCCTGAACTAATCAACGTACAGATTTCAATCATTATATATTATAATTTATATTTTGATAAGATTATGTCACATAATGGAAACCATTAATCTAGAGTACAAATTATTTTAGTCTAAGACCTTTACTTATCGCGTTTCCTAATAAAGTGAATATTTTTTACTGTATAATCTAAAAATGAACAGCATACAATAATGAACAACATGCTAGGGATTGTTACTGTTGTAAATATTAATATTGTTTACTCCAAGACGTACTATCGGTAATAAACCACTCTCACTCCCACTAGATGGAGTGATGACCTGGTAAGATATGCAGGAAGTCGATGGATGCAGGTGGCTCTACCGTGCTTTGTGGCATTCTTTGGGAGAGGCCAATGTTTAGCAATGGATTTGTAAAGGGCTGTAATGACTATGATGATGATAAACAAAGTGCATTCGTAAGAACCGATAATGCATGTTTTGTTTCCTCATTTAGCATAATAAGCAAAACTGTTTTAATTACTGTTTAATCACAAATGTAATTATCAGCATAGAAACAACCCGTTTTCAATGTCCCTTAGATATTGAAATTTAGTGTCAGCAGCTTCAATTTAATAGAACTTACTCAATCATTCTTGTCCAACTATTTAATGATACTCACCGAAACATTCTTCGACCAAGCTATGTTTCAACAAAGCATAGAATTATAGTCATGCAGGTTTTTTTTTTAAATTCTACGCAAAGTAACGTAGCTAGTAGATATATAAAATATTGTCACCTAAATTAAAATAATAGCAAATACTTGAATTGTAGCGTTGCTCTATGTCGTTTGTGTCATTTTTTGTTCTTAGTGTGACGAGTGATACTACTTGTTTTACATTTTTAACGCAAAGAAGTAACAAAATTATATAATCATAAAACTAGTTTCCACAGTGAGTTAAATTTCTTTTAAAAGAGATTAATTTAATATTAGACTTTGATGATCACCACTTAAAATTCGCTAATATATTTAGTATTTATATCAGTACCTAATAGATATTAATAAAACCACATAAAAGACCCAGACCACACTAAGATACAGGTTCTCATTATTGACAAAACCTTCTATGCTATTTTGAAAATATTGACTAAGAACTTCAAACTATTCAGCACTAACAATCCGCCCCAGCTTCGCGCGGTTGATTTCTGAATCTCGACTACAACGCAACCTACCTGGTCCAATTTTCAATCTACTTAGGTAATCAACTTAATCACACACACAAAATTTCATCAAAATCGGTTCGTTCTTTTAGGAGGAGTTCAGTCACATACACACGGACAGAAGAATTATAATATATATAAAATACGCAAGTATACATATAAACCTTTTATTGAATTTGAATCATTCTGTCTATTGACGAAAACCGCTTCAAAATCAGTTGCGTAATTTAAAATATCTAAGCATACAGACGGAGGGAGGCGACCTTATTTTATGCAATGTAGGGATTTTGTTCATAATTTGAGTTCTTGCATTGTACCTAGATTATTTCTTCAGATATTTTAAAATATTTATAATTATGTTATAACGAAAGCAGCTATGTAATTATAATCACTGACGTGCTAATCGTGATCTACTAATCAATCATCCTTTCACGATAAATTATTTTATAAGCATAGTTTACCTAATTACCTATGTTTTTTTTAATTAAGTTTATAAAAACACTTAATTACATAGCATACAAATATAAAATGATTATTATTATAATAAAAATACTAAAACTAAAACTTTAAACTATTATACAGTCCTACACCACGTGGTATTATTATACGCTGTAGTACAGAACATGTCATAAAAACCCTACGGTTCCTTTTAAGTACGTTATCAAAATGAGTATTCAAACGTATAGAAAAACTTTACTACAGAAAATTCCACCATGAAAAAAATTATAAAATTTAAATAAATTTTTATTTGCCAATTTTATGTGTTTTTATCACCTCTAACTGACTCTAGACTGAACGCGCATCGATAAAGCGGGATCATTGACCATACTTTTACTTCCTGGTCTATGCAGAGGTGATTCACGTCAGCTTACCGCCCTACTGTCGAACAGTATTCTGATGAAGAAGTCATTAACCTTTCTAGCATCTATTGCTATGGCCGCTTGAATGATACCCATACATTCCGCCTGAAATATTGCGTTGTAGAGGTGAAAGAACCCTACCCTGTGGGCAGCCTTTCTTAATCTGGATTGTTTGAGATTCACCAGCAAGCTTTATTGTTCGTGTACTGAGCATGTTTACTATCCAGTCAATCAGTGCCGTTTCAATTTTAAAATTTCTGTCAAAACTACCTTCTATATCTATGAAGGAACCTAGACATACTACGTTGTTTTGGATGGGTTTTTGGATGTTTTGTTTGGGTATGAATGTGACTTTCACATGTAGAAGTGCCGGGAATAAGCCGTTAGGTCCTGCCACCTAGTAGGGGAGGAAACTGTGAATGGCCCAATCAATTTTGTCCATCGTTACCACTATCTGTGCTAAATTCCAGTCTTCTGCTGTTGGTGTCAGTGCATCTTCATGCCGGCTTACCCCCTGAGTTACGTAGCAACCTGGGAAGTGCGTTGAAGTTAGGATGCGTCAGGTTTTGTGCGGCGATGTTGAGTAGCTTCCGTCGGGTTTCTTTAAAGAATGGATCCCGGCGTGTTTTGCTTAGCTAGGATTTTCCTTATCCGATTCGCTTGTTCACAGGTTTCTATGTTACCATAGAATATACGCCACCCCGTCGATACCTGATATATTTTTTGTATTCGGACTTGGCTTTCTTGTATAGTAGCCAGTGCATTCTTGTACAGTGGCCCTATTTAGGGCTTTTCTTACCTTCTTACGTTTTCTGTCTAGTTCTTTAACCCACCATGGTTGCTTTACCTCAGCATTTCTTCATGGAGTGATTTCTGGACTTGATTCATGGTAGCTATCTATCATGGCCTTAGTAACAGCTGCTACCTTTTCTTCTAGGAGCGACAGATCTGCTATATTATTTGTCCCCTCAAATCCCGCGAGTGAAGACGTCAGCCTTTTAAGGTATTTTGTTTTATCCGTCTTGCGGGGGTTTCTCCATGGTTATGTATCGGGGATATCGACCTGTAGTACGAAGCAGATCCATCTATAGTCTAAGCATGATGCCTCTTTTGACACATGCCATCCCGTAATTAGTTTAGCTGCTCCTTCTGTTGCAAGTGTGAGATCGATTACTGTGCGACAACGTTTGTTTATAAAAGTTGGTTCAGAACCTGTGTTGAAAATGGTTAGGTTAGTACTAAATAGATATTCAAGTAAAACCTTACCTCGTTAGGTTTTTCTGTTCCCCAGAGGGGGTGAAGCGCGGTGGAGTCTGTCCTGATAACAACCTCTAGTCCGCTCCTCTCACAGAAGTGCACAAGCCTGACGAGGTCATGAGGGGGAGGAGTGTCTTCCCCGGGCATGTAGACCGAGGCGATGACTATTCTTTCCTCCTGTGTGTTTTGTAATGCTATGGCATAAATGTCTCTGGAACAGAAATCTATTAATGTTTGTGCACAGATATCTTTAGTAGTATAAATACACGCTCTAGGCTTGTAGTGCTCAGAGTTGTAGAATAACTTACCTTTTAGGTTGTTTAGACGCTTTGATTTTACCGGCCCCAACCCACGGCTCTTGGATTAGGGCTATGGCCGTCCATTGAGCCTCCAACCACTTGCGTAATTAAGCCGACGCAGTTTCGCTGTGGTGAAGGTTGGCCTGCACAAGGCTAGTTTTGGGTGAAGACCACGCCATCATTGACCGCGTCCTCGCCGTCCTCGCCGAGTCGGAGTTGGAAAGTGCAGCCCTCCTCGTCACTCAATGAACCGCCGCTGAGCCCGATCTCCGCTGATGGCTTCGACTCGGTTGTGCAGGCCGTTTTGTCACTGGTCTTGGGGTTCAGTGATGTTCCTGCTGCCTCGGTGTCCATGGCACTCGTGTCTGCGGCTTTTGGGTGGTTTACCGCCTCTTTGCTCGGTGGAATATTATAAAATTTACCTCCAAGACCCTGGAATTTTACGTAGACCGCCCCACATACACATGCGAGGCGGCTTTCAACGTGGTCGGGATATGATCCTCCGGTACCGAAACAACGAGGAACCATCCTTCCGTCTGTTTGTCGGCCTTGAACAGCAGCCAATCTTTTATATTTACCCAGCGGTTCTGGTATGCGAGCACACGACCAATGTCGCTTTACAGGCCCCTTGGGCGTTTGGGTGAGGATACCATATTTGACTCTTTGTGGTATCACCAACTGCTTCTTTTTGACCAGCGAGGTGCTGGATTTGAGGTCGAGGGTAGCGATGTTCCCCATCAACCAGGCTTAAGCATTTTGGTCGTCGCACCACAGCTTTAGGACACCCTCCGTGTAAACGGGTTTGCCTCTAAAGACTAGGCCCGACGCCTCAGGGACTTGGCTACTCCAAGCCTCACTGATCATTTTCCTCTGGATAGATATGAGGATGTCGTCAGCTATTTATTTTGTGATGTGTCCTGTACGCGCACACGTTAGGGCCACACACAATTCAGCTTTAACTGCAGAAGCAAAGCTGGTCTTTGCAGCCATGGATTGCTGTTCGAGTCTATTCTTTTTATCCCCACCTCTCGGCGAGGTGGTCTTGTCCAGCCTTCTTTTGACTGCTCTTCCTTTCTTACCAGGACGATTGGCTGCTCTAGCGGATTTCTTAGAACAGGCCCCAGCAGCTGTTACTTCCACTGTGGCAGGATTTGTATCCTTTCCAGTTTCAGTACGCCTACTGGGTCCAGGTCCAAGCATTTCAAGAGCAGCAGCTTGCCCAGCCTCCTTAGTATTGGTTTTGGGAGCAGCTAGCCCTATCTGCCTTTTCTTTACGGGCTTTCTCTC